AGCCATAAAGGTTACTGAAATTTATTGAATCTTCGAAGTTTATAATTATCGAAATTTATCCATGCTTGTTAAGTTATCGCAACGTATCGAATTATTCAAACTGAACAGTGTTTATTGAGTTGTCGAAATTTATAGACACAGAAACTTAGTTTTCCAAATTTACGGATAGGTTTCGAGCTATAAAAACGTGTGGGATTAACGAAATTTGTCAAGTCAAAGAAATGTATCAAGTTATCCATATTTATTGAATTATCATCATTTACAGACTTAACGAAAATTATCGAGGTGTCGTAATGTATGGAGTTCTTTCAACTTACAGAGTTATCGATAATTATTGATCTACTGAAATTGGTTGGTTCAACGAATCGAAGTTTATGGAATTTTCAAAATATATCGATTTATCGAAATTTCAAGATTATATAAACTTATCGATGTATCACTGCTTATCGAATTTTATCGTGTTAACAGAGTGTAACGAGTTATCAAAATTTCACAGTTATTGAAATTGGTCGAGTTAACGAATTTTGTTGAGCTATCGGATTTTAGTGTTCTTTAAATTCATCGAACTATCCATATGTATCAAATCATTGAAATTTATCGATAAACTTGAATGTATCGGGCCAATTCCAAGTCCTGCCGAAGTCCTCCAAAGACCTTCTTAGATAAAAAAAATTTTAGTTACGTTTTTGTTCCAAAGCAGAAGATTTTCCGGTTAGTTAATTTTTTACCGTATTTTTTGTTAATGCTATTCGCACCTGGAACTCGATTCCATCTCATATTCGTAATAGTTTGAACATAAGCAATTTTAAGAGTGTTTTGTATTCTTATTTTTGTTAAAATGCTATTTCATATCCAAAGTTATACGCTTTCCTCTGAGGCTCGCTATCTAGTTAGGTATAGGGTAATCAATACATTATTCTTATGTTTTTCCTTATGCTCCACTTGTGATTCTCTATAGAGTTTTGTAAGTTTTTGTTGTTCCTGTTTTTGTTTTATATATTACTTAATTTTAAACATTAACATATTTTAATTCTTTATTATAAGTTACAGTTGTACTATAAAAGATCATTGGGATCTTATTGTGCTAATGTTATATTTTATAATAAATGAAATGAAATAAGTTTTGCTACGTGTTAAGTTAGAAAACCTCTCCAAGGTTTCTAAAACTAGAAAAACTGTCGAATTTCGACTGTAACTGGCGCTCTACACCTTTTCCAATAGTACTTTCGAAAGTATCAGTTGGATTTTAGAAAGCATCAATTCGATTTTAGAAAGCGTCAATTCGATTTTAAAAGGTATCATATGGACTTTAGCATAGTCAAATGTTCTTTAGAAGATGTCAAAAATACTTTAGAATTATCAAATGTATTTTAGAAAGTAGCACTTAGATTTCAGAAAGCGTCAAATGTACTTTAGGTTAGTCAAATGTACTTCAGAAAGCAACAAATGTACTTTTGAAAACACCAAATGTTTTTTTGAAAAAATCAGATGAACTTTAGAAAGTGTCAAATGTACTTTCGAAAATATCAAAAGTACTTTCGACAATATCAAATCTACTTTCGACAATATCAAATCCACTTTAGAAAATATCTACTGTATGTAATATAACATAACCGAGTAACATTTAAAAAAAAATGTAAAATGTAGAATAAATATTACGAGTATTTTAAATACTCACGTGTAGTCGTTAACAATGCAAGTTCAGGATAACTGCGCATTTTGCCTCGTCTCTATGAAGCGTCAAGCATTGAAAAGGTTACAGCCATGCAGACACCTATTTAATGCTGACTGTTTTGAAAATGTACCAACCGCAACAAGTTGTCCAATTTGTCGAAGCGATGTAACGGGTAAGTAATGCAAAGCAATTATTTTATTTAAAAAACTATTGCATTAATGAAAATGATTCAATTTCTTTCAGTTGCCGAATCAGTTGAGCGACGTGCCAACATAAAATACTCTGCTGAAGACAGGAAGCGAATTGTGGAGGCAGCCAATAAAGGCCTTGATTGGGTGCAGCTGGCGGAGTCTTTAAATGTAAAATATAAAACGGCTTACGTATGGGTATCATCTGGCACTCCTCAAGCACTAAGGCGAGGTGGTACAAAAGAAAGAGCGCTGACGGACAATGAAGTTGCAGTGATGGTCCAATGGATTGAGGAGGATGCCACTATGACACTCACAAAAATTCGTGAAAAAATTAAACAAACGTTTAGAAAAGATGTGTGCATTTCCAGCGTGGGAAACTATTTACAAGGACAACTTTTTACGATGAAGGGGATTCATAAGGAACCTCAATCAATGAATTCGCAGCTAAATAAGGAAAAGCGCCGCGAATACGTATGTACGTTGAATCAATATATTCAGGAAGGCAAGCAGATTTTATACATCGACGAGACAAATTTTAATTTATTTTGTCGGCGTTCACGAGGTCGTGCTAAGGTTGGAAAACGTGCGGTACAAGTTTTACCAGTGGCTAAAGGGCCAAACGTGCACCTTATTGGGGCCATTTATGCGTCTGGTGTAGTCAAAATGACTACCAGAAGAGGATCCTTCAAGTCTGAGGACGCAAACGCTTGGCTCCGCTCCGTTTTAGATAGGTGGTGCGAAATGGGTAATCAGCTTGCCGATGCCATTATTGTGTGCGACAACGCGCCATGCCATTCAAAGCTACACGAGGTATGTGCAGAGTCCACTTTATTGCGGCTTGGACCATATTCTCCTATGCTTAACCCCATAGAGATAATATGGGGAAAAATTAAGGCGAATGTAAAGTCAAATATACGGACTCCAGACGTGATTGGACCGGGTGTTATTGAGCAAAGGTTGCAGTATTTAGAGGGCCTAATAAAAGACGCTGCCGCCGCTGTTAATTGTGGAGATTGCGCTAGATCGGTGCAGCACAGTACGTCGTTCCACGCTGCTGTAATTTCGCTTGACAATATGCCAGTTGGACAGTGAAAACTGTTCGTTGCATTAGATCTTTATTGTAATATAAAACTTCAATAAAAACATTACTACAACCTATATACATGTCTTAATCTTAAAAAAAAATTTTAGGTGCAATATGAACAATTTAAAGGGAGACTTAGAATATGATTCTAAAGTACATTTGATATGTTCTAAAGTACATTTGATATCTTCGAAAGTATATTTGATGTTGTCGAAAGTATATTTGATATTGTCGAAAGTATTTTTGATATTTTCGAAAGTACATTTGACACTTTCTAAAGTACATTTGATACTTTATAATGTACATTTGCTTGCTTCAAAAGTACATTTGATGTTTTCTAAAGTACTTTTGACTAATCTAAAGTTTATTTGACGCTTTCTAAGATTGAAATGATGCTTTCTAAAGTACATTTAATAAATCTACAGTACATATGACGCCTTCCAAACAACATTTGACTATTCTAAAATCCATATGATACTTTCTAAAACCGAATTGACGCTTTCTAAAATCAAACTGATACTTTCCAAAGTACTATTGGAAAAGGTGTAGT